TGAACTCATAATCTTCTTCAACAAAGCGTAAATCAATGATATTATAATAAATCGCCGTAACACGGATGAAAAGAGATTTAGAATTATAAGTGTTGCGATCACACTTTTGAATTAACGTCGTACATTAAACTCGGCATGCTTCACTCAAAAGATAATGGCCATCTTCTCGTTCATGTACTTGAGAAATATGCCTTAATCAGCCGTTAAAAAAAAAAGCAATTCTTTCAACAAAGTGGCTTTTAGTAACATTATGCAAGCCCTATATGACTACGACTATGACTATGAATTTGATTGCACGTTTGCAAGCAATAGGTTTCCTTTTTTCTAACTTTGATATAATTTAATTCACAACTTGTCACTTGGTCCATGAAAGAATATAAGAAAAATGCCTATATATTCACAGACATGATGCTCTTAACCCTAAACCGCATGCTAATCTACACTTTGTGTTTTTTTTCTTCTTCTCTGTCGGTAGGGCAATCGATTAAGTTGATGGAAAAATGCAGCATTAGTAGCCCACATCAGATGGTCAAAGTGAGACATGATGTTGCACTGAGGGAATGGTAAAATGGGACTTGTCTTCATTATTACTATTAATTTAATACCTAGGCTAATTAATAAACTCTATTATTGGTAATATTCTTTTAACCAAAATGATATCCTTTCGCACCTTTATTTAGCTCTCTTTAATATAAGCTATAAACCGTACGGAGAGAACGAATGGGTATGAGATCAATTATTATCCTATAATTATTTCATATTTTAGTTTTCAGTCATTGAATTATGAGTTTTAGTGCGGAACTACGATTTCGCATATATTAGTAAACGCAAAGAAGGTTTTAATGAGGCCACTGTATCATGTCGCTCTTCGTACGTCTATGGTTTTATGAATGAATTCTCCTTCTCAAAAAATTAAAAAAGAAAATTTATTTTATTTTATTGCTAATTTTATAACACCTTCATATATACCAAATTGGGAAAATGCAGGAGAAGCTCATTCAGATAAGGAATATCATATATATAATTAGTGGTATAGATAATTAGTGCAGGAATTTTATCTTCCAATCAAACAGGCAGTCAAAGAATTTCTCAGGCTAGTAATTAATAATGTATTAGTGTTTCAACCCTTTTTAGTGCTGTCAAATCATTGGCCACTAAAACAAGCAGTAGCAAATAACCTTTCAAGTGTTGGTAGAGTGAGGATGGCACGATCCTTCCTTCACCAGCATATCACAAACAAACTGATATTTATATAATATAAAACTATCCCCAGGAAAGGGGAAGAGAATAAAAATGAAGTTCATCATCCCACCCTTCTAATTGGGCAATGACACTTGTACAATTCATATCTATAAAATATACGTGTGAGTAATGCGAGTTCTTTTATTAGACAGTCTGGCATGTTACGTTGTTAAATTGTGAATCAGTTAAGTTTTGTTTTCAGTGTGAATGCATCTAGAAGGATAATTCAATAAAATAACATTTTAGACTGTTTGATTAGATAATGTTATTAATATACACATATATAATGCCGTAATGACGATTTAGATTGATAATCCGATAACATAACTTCTCTCTCACGAGATAATATTATTAATATAGTGAGAATTTTGAATTCATATTGAAAGTGGTGAAGTTTAGGTAACATTAGTGGAAGTAGGACTATAGTAGTCAAATTTGGGATTAGTGAGTACATAACTGTATGACATAAATGAAAGCTAGTAAACGAAACACAGGATGAACTGAATATACATTTGGAATATATTCTGGTGATCATGAAGCTAATATTTAGCACTATGACCTTCAAATTATGCAACTTTTGTATTTATTCCAAAACATGATCAACTCAAAGCGATATGAATCCTTTTTCCTTTGAATCTTCCAGGCACAAAATGCATTATATATAATGTCACATGTAAAGCAAACTAGCCATGCGTCAAGCTGCAGGTTAGCTTGGTAGCATTGCATGCCAACAAAGGGAGAGAACCCATATATATTTTGAATGAATAATCTTGAAGATTTAGCACTAATCAGAGAAGATTTTCAAGAGCAGTACTATATAATATAAATATGGAATCATTATAATTTAATTATTAATTAATTAATTAGCAAACAGAAAGATAGATGCTTAATTTGGTCATAAAGGGCAGCAGGCATATCATTTTAATGTTTTTTTTTTCTTTCTCAAGTCATAACCCTCATCAAGCTTGGCATCTTCTTCAATGTACTAGTAGTAGCTTACCTAGCTAGAAGAATTCATGGCAACCTTTCTTTATATTATACCAGTGAGAAAGCACCGGAGAAAGACCCTAGTTTTCCAAGTTTCAGATTGACAGCCTACATAATTATGATTAGATCACTAATTAATCAGAAATCCCCAATGGAAACCCCAAAAAGAAAAAACAACAAGACCGAATCTTGTGAACCAAATTGGGTGCTTTTTTTCTATGTATCATTGAGCAATTAGCTAGAGAGCTAGTTGATTATCATTCTCCCTTGCTGTGATACTATGTGCAGGAGAGAGTGGAAAGAGCAGTAAAGAAAAAGAATTCTTATTAAAATTGATCATAAACCACAACAATGATTCCAAAGACCCTCTTTTTGACCATCACTATATAACAAGAATTAGTATTTTAAACTACTTCAATGTACCCTATCATTACATTGCTATAGGGATGATGAAATTGATAAATTAGTTGGAGTATACTAGTTTGAAGGATCAATCTCATTGAATTATAAGATTCGAATCAAATGATACGTGTGTTTGTGTTTGTTAATTATTCTTTCTGTTTCAAAATTTGTACGTATTTTGAATAATAAAGTACTGCCGCGTTATTTGACGAAACTAATTTGATCACCGTATACGAAAAGATATTCGAGAAGAATAAGCTTTCTAGAGGAAGAAGAGAAGATGTGGAGAAAAATGAATGAGTGATGATGGGAAAAGTTGTTGATTTAGCTGGCCTATTGGTGGTCCAAGAAAAGGGTCCTTGCTGGTACATCGAAAATTCCATGTTCCAAAGAACTTTACTAGTGATTTTTCTTGCAATGATTGAACAAGAAAAATCATATAATAACAAAGTATGTGCACGAATGGTATATGTTTATTAAGTGGACCGACTTTATTCATAAACTAGTGTCCTAAGTCACTGGTGGTGATACAACTTTTCGTTCTGAAAATAAAAACCAAAAGAAAGAAAACTAGGCTTCTCTCCTTCATCACAGGAAATTGAAGTTAGAGGGTGATACAGTAAAATCCACTCGAATATATGAAGAAGAAAGACTCAACTGGGATACATATAGACAGTTTTCTTGTTAGTTTGATAGATTCTGGGTATAAATTATGTATTTTATTGATAACTTTCTTCAGAATTGTGCACTCACTCAGAACAAGTCATCCTTTACTGCAAATAATTGTTTAATTCTCCTCGTCTCTCTCTCTCTCTCTCTCTCTCTCTCTCTCTCTCTCCACTACTTGACGTTAGGAGGAGTGATGTCCATTTCAAGCTAAAGGTGTTGTAGTTGGATTTGTTCAAGTATGTTGCTTTTGTTTGTACCCATCAAGCTCAATCTCTCTCGAACTTGAATTTGTAAGAGCAATGGTGATGAGCAGTTGTTGTTGGGCATCTTGATCTGATGTGGCTTTTTTCTTTTATTTATTTGTTATAATATACGGGGGGTTCAAAGGAATAGAAGAAGAATAAGACTGTCGCCAAAAAGCAGTCAAATGGAATGGGCTTAGGCTTGTCTCTTTCTCTCTTCCTCTCTTCTTATTAGGTCTTTGCAGACCAGAAGAAAATTCCCTCCTACATGTCACTGTAAAAGAATCCATAAAGGCATCCATTGAACTCTTGCTACTTTCCTTGTGGGGCCTCTCACCAACTTCCTGATGCTGACAGACACAGCTTGCTTTCAGCAGCGGAGCTAGACTATAACATATGGGTGCACCCCCTGCTTGCTTTGTGGCTGCACATCAGTGACTTTTGCAGCATCCACAAAATCATAAACTTCACCCTGAACAGAGAAACTTCCATGCCCCCAAGTAAAAATACCAGGCTTGTGTTAGCCCGGGAGATAAGTACACATGAAAAGAGAGATACAGAGAAGAGGGTAGCCATGCGACCCGGGAAGATAGATAAACACACATAAAAAGAGAGAGAAAAAGAAAGGGCAATATAACAGAGGCAACCAAGTAATTTGCCATATGAAGAGCATAAGTTGTTGCTTACAACCCTTGCATACAGCATTTCTCGCAAAACCCACCTCTTTTGTACACTAAATTTAGTCCAGTCACACACCCAATACGATCCCACAACATAGTCGAGTCCAAAACAATTCGACATAGCAAACGGCTGTATAAAGTCATAACTAGTCTTAAATGCGATTGTCGGCAGATGTTAATAATTCACTCATATTATAACACATATACGTTTGTAGAAAAGTTTTTATTTTTATTTATTTTATAAATCTTTTGAAAGTATTAACACATATACATTCTGTCTCAAAAATCAAAAGATTACACACATTTGGGACATTTGGTCAAAAATACAGAATTGTAATATTTCAAAGAACCATTCGACAACGACGATCATACTACATAATTTTCTCATCAATTTTGTGATACCATAGCTCTGTACACGAAAGTGGAAAATGGAAACACGATATCTCCCCTAGTTGCAGTTTTTTTTTTTTTTAACTTCAACATAACAACGGAAATGAGCCAACATCACCGTTTCAAAAGAGATGCAACTTGTTTTCCTCAAATTTTTGGGCTTACAAATTCCCTTCCGAAATAGTACCAGAACTTGTTTCTCAAAATATTTTACAGGAGCTTTAAAAGTGTGCGAGCATATCGTTAAGCTTATCCATCTTCTTCGGCAGAGAACCTCCATATAAAGCCAGAGTACAAGCACACTCCACCACTCAGGTGGATTTTTCTTATCGATAGAAATTCCCCGAAGGATTTTCTTTGCTAACGCGATTTCTTGAGAGGCGCAGTACAATGGCAATTAGTGCAAGATTTAAAAGAACTGGATCATGGATTGTTCATCACCAACATCAAAGTATGTACAACACCAGCGTTTTATGCGTATAACTGCAAATCTGAATTTTATACAGAATTCCTGCTCATAATATTAGTAAGAATAGAAGCATCAGCCTCAGGTTTCGTTTATCTTCATTCCTCTATTCGTTCTGTTCTCACCCAAACCGTCTTTTAAACAAATGATGTCGCTTGGCCGGATCCTTGGGCTTACTCTTCATCTGGCCTTTGCCAAGTTTGTGTCTCCCAGTACTGCAAAGTAGGAGATTATTTATGATAGTAAAAAAAAATGACAAGAAAAGAGGGGCAGGGGGACTGGATTAGCATACCTGTATTCCATGTAAACCATCCCATTTGCACCTGACATAGCACTCATGGATCCACCAAATCGACGGGCTTTATGAAGGGCAATGTCATCAGCATCTTCTTCTAGTTGCTCTAAGCCAACTGCCTCATCACCAGCACTCAACACCTGGGAGAGTTGAACATGTCAGAAATCACTAATTCAAAGAATGAGTTTAAAGTGAAAGCTTAGGAAACAAGCAACATTCTACCTTTGTGAGTAGCGCCAGTTGGTCATCAAGACGGTGGTAGTTCAACTCAGGACCAGAATCAGGTGGGGGCAAGCCTGTAATAACCTGTCAATAGTATATAATTAAAAAGATAATTACACAACTGTAGAGATCAAGGAGAGATACAACTTTTGACAGCTAGTGGAAACACTTAAGGGGCAAATAGATATATCAAAATGATGTACCTTGAAACTATAACCTTGGTCAATCAAAAACTGCTGTCGTTTAGTCGAATAGTACATCTCCTGTATTCAAACAGATGATTAATTGAATATCAAGATTTAACAAAACGGAAACGATATATATCGGTTGTGCAAGGTTCTCTTTTTTTGTTTACATTCACAGCTGTGAAAAGTTTACACATGCTTAACCTCAAACAGATTCAGAAGGTTTTTTAAAATTTTTTAAAATTTTTTAAAAGCACACCTGTGTATCCATTGACACGAGGGAATAAAAGAATGCATTGTACTCCTCTTTACCTCCTGCCATCCGATCCTGAAGTTTACCCTGTTCACACAATCACAATGTACAATAACACATTAATATTAAAATCTCTAGTGTTTCTGACCATAAGATTCATCTGATTTCCAGATTTGATAATAAAGAAAAACTGCACATTATGTCATTCACCATTAATAATGACGCAAAGAATTGTAAAACATTTGCATGACCAAGACAATCAGAAGAAAGCTATGATTACATCCGTACGAAAACAAACCTTTGCCCTTAGAATACGACCAAGACGCTGCGCTTCTTGACGCCTTGAACCAGCATGTGACGATATCTGAATTATCACATTTGCCTCCGGAATGTCTATGGAGTTATCACCTACCTGAAATTTAACATAAACTGAATCAAACATCACTATGACAGCTTCGAATTCTATAAAACTTGCAAAATAAAATATCATAAATCTCCCAATTGTCAGTGACATATGATAAATTTCAGTTAATCTAAATAGACTGATAACTCATTTGAAAGACAGTAAAAGGAAGGGTGCAACAATTTAAATATTTTGACACAACACGCCTTGCTTTTCTTTCCCCTTGATGAGTAAAAGCACGTAAGCGTTTCACCTCTTACCGAATTGGTGATCAGCTAAAATAAAACATGGTTTAACTCACATCATGCAAAGAACCCATCTTATGTCTCGTAGATTATTATTATTTTGTATTTTGTTACGAAGTCCCATAATCAAGTAATGTGCATAGTAGTGCAATTACATATCACCCACCCATCAAACAATGGGAATCTATTTCATATTACAGAGGATGACAACTTTGATAGAGTACCTTAGACAAAAATATAGTGTTTACATCCCGACTTGTTTTGAAAGCTTCTAGGATTTTTGTCCTCTCAACATGGCTGAAATCACAAGGATTTAACAAGTATTAGATGTGAGAGAGCACAAGTAAACACTGTTAATAAATACAAAATACGTCCATGAACAACCTGGTGGCACCATAGATCATAGGTTTCCGAAGTTTCATTGCATATTCCACGAGAGCAAAAAGATTGTCAGCAAAGACAATAATTTTGTCGCCACGTTGCTGTTCATGAAACCGAATAAGAAACTCGCATGCCCTGAACTTATTTGGGTTCATCACATAAAGTGCCTGAAAATGAAAGAGAAGAATTATGAAACAGAAACAAGAAATCTGTTGTACAAAAAGAACTGACATGCTTGACACAAAATGCTACATCTTGGCATAAATAGAAATTAAAAAAAAAAACACTCAAACCTCAAGTATGAGCACTTTCAGGATAGACACATAGACACACCTGCTTTTTCTTGGAGTTCTCTTTCTTCAAATATTGCGCAAAGAACTCTTTTGTCATTGGACACCATACTTCAGCGCACTGTACATTTGCAATAAATCCACCTTTTACCAAATCCAACCAGTTTGCTTCATACAATTTTGGACCAATAAGGAAGTTCAGATCTGTGATCCTCTCATCCTCTCTCACAAGTGTGGCTGCAATTATATTGATCAATAAATTAAGACTTCCAAGCAAAAAAAGATCAAGGCTAAATGTAGGCGATAGTTCAAATCCAATATTATCAGACTTACCAGTGAGACCCAGCTTGCAGTGAGACTTAGTAAGGCTAATGACCTTTCGAAACATTTGAGCAGGAACAACGTGCACCTAAATAAAAAAGGACAAAGTTAGTATTTTATAATGCATAAGAGATACACATAATCTTATGAGTAAAGAGTCGTACTCCAAAAAAAAAAAAAAAACTCATCCATGAGAAGTAATCCCCATTCTAGGGGATACAGTTGATATTCTATAATGCATATGAGATGTACATAATATAATTACAAGTAAAGAGTCAAACTCCACAATATAATGTAATTACCTCATCCATCAGAAGCAATCCCCATTCTCTATTTCTTATTTCTTCAATAATCTTTTCAGATTCTTCAGACCTCTTGCCACCAAAGGCAACCATGTTATAAGTTGTCACTACCACCCCAGCATTTCCACGAAACCTTTCTTTACTATCAGATGTGAAACGACAAATTTGCTCATCACGGATGGTAGACCACAACTTGAACTGAAAAGCCCATTGATCAACAGAAACAGCATTTGTTGCTAAACAAAGGCAGCTCTTTCTTATTCGGGAAGCTGCAGAAACACCAACTAGAGATTTTCCGGCACCACAGGGTAGCACAATAATTCCAGATCTTGCTCTCCCTGAAATATTAAATAACAAAGTTGAAATAAAAAGCGTCCAACTCACAGCCAGAACAAAATATGTTTATCATTGCTTAAGTCATTAGAAAAGCATTGTGGAAAAACCCACAAACAGCAACACCGAATCCATGGCAAGTTGGCAACTCCTGAATATTTTTTTGCAGGAATTAAGGTCAACAATAAAAGGAAAACCAAAATGTGTCCAATAATGCAAGATAGATATGTTCTCTTTTCATCGCTATGCTACTGCTTATAGACAGTTCTTTGAGAAACACAGTTACCGAAAACTGAAAAGCATTCTAAAGTTATTATTCATTCTTTGCATGGTAATCCCGACCAAAATAGAACAAGCATAGTTAAATTGAACGAATTTTGATGATTAAATAACCTCTTCAAATGATGCTAAAATTTGCAAGAAACCATACCATTCCCAAACATTTTACTCAAGCTCTTCTCCTGATATGGTCGTGGTTGCGCTTGAGGCTTCAGTTCCATATCAAGATCAGGGTTAACCTGCAGTGTTAAAAGAGCAATGGGTGTGATAAGAAATAAAAGAAAAAGAAACTCCTAGATTATGGTTGATTTGTAAACGATTAATAATTCAGTGCAGGGAGAAGGTAAGTCATTAACTCACAGTATCATTTCTGAAGTCATACTCCTCCAACATGGGATAGTTCAAAGCATTAGGCAAGCAACGTTCCTTGACATTTTCAACCTGACAATCATTGAAATACCATGCTGGTCTAAAGCCACAGAGATCCAAAGATAAAATGCTTTACTTAAAAAGATAAAAGGAGTCTCAAAAAAAGCAATATGTTCACATTCATTGATTGCTTATCTGTTTATTGTGATGAAACCTAATTACATCAAATAGATGGGAACATTGCCATTAGAAAGTTACAAATACAAGCCCATCTATTCAACTTGCAGACTAAGCACATCAACAAATGCATGAGAAAATTACCAAAATGTCTTTCTGAAAACGCCTCTCCCCTCCCCATCCCTCCCAAGAAATAAATTAAATTTCATGATTTATATACAGCAACAAAGTATATCTCTTCGGGGGAGTCTGGATAATATGAAACTGCACCAGACTTATCCATTATTCCGACCTTGTCAGAAGTGGCCCAACATATGGTGCAGCATGAAGCATGCATAACCAAGGGCTTCACTTTCAGAAAGATAAAGTAGAGGGGTCTACGCTGTGATACTGATGTAGCATAACCCAATGATACAGATTGAATTTGGATTAGGACCATTACTTGTTTGGTTTCCTGTTTGTTATTTATTTCCAGTTTTATCATTTTGCTAGGATCACATTATTATTTTCCAGTTTTATTATTCTCCTATTCCTAGTAGGACCATTACATCAGATACTGATACCAAGCATGACCCAGGGAGACAGCTAACAATGGGAAATAAGGGGCTTCAGTTTTCAAATTACAAACAAGCTACCTGTGTAGGATCGACTTCAAATGCATGAGTTTCTTTTTCTTCAGCCACAGCTGCCAATTCTGCTTCATTTAGCAAATCACTGGGACCAGCTCCAATTTCACCCATTGTTTTGCTAATCGTAAATCCATCACTTCCACGAGAACCCTATAAAAGAACTCAGATGTATATCGACGTCAAAACATGTGTATCCATGCAGATTCACACACAAGGGAAATTACAGAAATATACTGTTAAAGAAATAAATGGTTAGCTAAATTTCAATACAACGATCAATCTGCATATACACACATGAAGTTAATAAACGGATTCTAGGCAGACCAAGGTGCAAACCTCAGAGATAATCCTCGATTTAGATATAACTTCGTCCTTAAGCAATGTCTTCAATACCTGCAAACCACTTACAACAATAATTTAATAACCAAAACATTTGTATCCATAACTGATAACTGGAAAAAGTTTAGGGCATAAAACTCTTGCCTCTGGGAATGGGGATTCGACAAAGTACCGATTCTTCTTAAGCACAAGCTTCACTTTGCCGTAATTGGCAGTAGAACCATGTATGAAATCAATCATTTCTTTGGGGAGCTTGGTCTTTGACAACTTATTCAAAACAGAAATGATGGTTTCCGTTTCAAGACCAACTGACACAGCAGCATACAACGAATGCGGGGTCAAATTGTACTCATGCATCGATTCTGGCCTATCAATCAAGTCCCGATAAATAATAAATGTTTGATCACTCAAAAAATAAATACATGGGCAGTGATAAGAATTGTGTTTGGACTCAAAAATTGATACCTGCAAACAGGTTCTGCAATGGCAATGAGAAAATCATATGCTTGTTTGTACAAAGGTGAGAAAGTTTCAAGGAAAATTCGGCCATCAGCACAAGCCCATAAAGGACGATTGATGTGGTCCGGTTTCAATTCTAACTTGGTAAAGTCCCTCTTTTTCCCTTCACCTTTAATCAATCAATGTCAGTCACAATTTACCCAAATTAATCAAAACCCAACATTCCAAAATCCATAAAAAAATCAAAAGAACAAAAACCAATTTCAAATATAAAAAAAGGAAACCAGTCTATGAACAACACAGCAAATACACACCATCTCGAACATCGTCGTCGATATCTTCACCAACGAAATATGCGTCTTCATCATCCAGGTGTGTGATTTCCTGGATATAACACCTGAACTTATCAACACTATACATCGGAATAAATATATGCAGAAATTACAGGAAAAAAAACGATCAGAAAATGAGTTTGAAACAAATAAGAAGCAAAACCTTGGCAGAAAATTTGAGCTTTTTACTGGGTCGGCCTTTATCACCTGAAAGATTGAAACTTATAATTGGCACCGTCAATTCCTCTGAATTCTGAAAGGAAAATACAACACTAAAAAGGAAATAAATTACCGTGCCCCATTGTTGTTTTTGCAACTGAAAATTGAATTAGGGTGAATTTCAAGTCTGATTAATTTTATTTTCCTTCGCTTTTCTTTTTCCTCTGTTCGCTTTGAGGGAGATCGGAATACTCAGAGCTCCAGTTATGTTGAATTTGTACTGCTGGGGAACCGCCTGCGCCAAAGTTCGAAAGCGATGGTCGCGTAATCAAGCCACGTGCGAGGCACGTGTTGGACTTTTAAAACGGTTCGGACCGGGTTGAGGCGAACCAAATGTTTAGGGGCGGGTAATTAATGTCAGTCTTTTTATAATTGGAAAAACAACACAACATTGGTGTAAATCATTTTTTCGATTCTTCCTCCTCTTGAATTTGAGTTCATTTGTAGTTGACGAATCATGGCATGAACAGTCTTAATTTCCAAATAAGATTGATGACTTTCTATAACACTTCCTTTTGTTTGTTTGTTTTTTTTTGTTGGGATTGAAACTTCATATAGCAATTTTGGCAACATTGTAACAATAAAAAAATCATCCTAGCCAATCCAAGTAGTAAGGTGACTTAAACACTTGTTTCTTAATGACTAGTAAACATAACCTCTAGTTATTTGTGTATTCTTGTCATGTGCATCAGTTAACCTAATGTGATATAGATCAACATTTTTACTTAATATTGATTTCGTTCGAGGCACATAGTGCTAGACTCAATATGAGGCGAATTATGATTGACATGTATTGAGTAATTACAAAGAATGAACTATTATGAAGACGTGGTTGTGAATACTAGCGATTTTAACATAATCTATCAGTAATATACGCTTATACCTAATAATACATTTTAAAAAATTATTGAGGCATCTCTTAGCGAGCAAGAACAAGGGTGATTAAACTTTATAAACCCCGATAATCAATCACAATAATGAGAGATAAAAATGACATACAACACGTTACATATAAGTCACCCCCATACATCGATACCAGTAATGTTGGCCTTGCGATTACTTGTATATTTTTCAAGTCACCATTGTCTCTTCTATACACACCCCACGCCCCAAGCTGCTTGCTACACAACTAGAGGAGGTGAGCTCGCTTGTCAAAACCAAAAACCGGTCCGGTTCAGTAGCTACTTCTCCCAGCGGTTCGGATTTAAGACAGCCATTTCTTCATCGGTTTATTTCTTTTTCTTCATCTTCTTCTGTCGTCTCTTTTAGACGAAGCATTTTGGTCTCAGGCATTGCGTTGAAGACTGACAGAGAGAGAGGAGACGACTCGAGCAAAGAGATGAGCGGGCACGACTCCAAGTACTTCTCCACCACCAAGAAGGGTGAAATCCCTGAGCTCAAGGAAGAGCTCAATTCTCAATACAAGGTTATTAGGTTTTTTACTCTTAGGATTGTTGGGAGCAGATCTGTTAGTTTACGCTTTGAATTGTTGCTTAAATTGCTGTTTGATTTCTTCGAATTCTGTTTAAATGCCGTCGTAGGGTTTCAGAATTGTTCGGATCCAGTGCGAGTTGTTAATTTGCTTTCTGTTCTGTTTGGGGCGGGAGAAACTGATGGAAATGAAAAGAAAATCTGCTCTTTTGTTTTTAGATTCTTCTCTTAGATTGAGTAGAATTTAAATTCGGTTTCCTTTTCTTATTTCCTAGTAACAAATCGGAGCATTGTTGATTGCTTGCAGTAAAGTGAATTGTAGTTTTACATGATCTGTAGACATTTCTAATATCTTTCTAGTGTATGAGTATTTCTCCTTCTTGATTTGTCTGATTCCCATCTTCATGACTTTAAACGCTTATTTTTACCATTAAATTATGTTTTTCTTTTCTTCGGGTGCGTGTTAGGGCCGTATTGTTTTCCCCCAAAATTTTGACTAGTGCTTGCCTCATTGTTTTCGTTTCAGAATTATCCTTCTTGTGTACTTTTACTTTATCAGAAGCTTTGTGATCATAATCTTCTTTTGTGTGTTGTATAGGATAAGAGAAAAGATGCTGTTAAGAAGGTGATCGCTGCAATGACTGTTGGGAAGGATGTTTCATCTCTGTTCACAGATGTAGTGAATTGCATGCAAACAGAAAATTTGGAGCTGAAGAAGCTGGTCTATTTATATCTGATAAATTATGCTAAAAGCCAGCCTGACCTAGCAATACTTGCGGTGAATACATTTGTCAAGGTAAAACTGTAATGAAACCCCAGTCTTTTACAGTTCATCACTACACACCTTCATGTGAATAGGTCGTGCCAATTCAGACATTTTTATTGGTAACTTATATGCTAGTAAATAGGGAACTAAAATAGAGGCGAAATGTTGTCATTTGATCATAAGTTATTGGGTGAAGCATATGTGTTAAATGCTGACATTGCATGCTTCAAGAGTGCGTATTTGACAAATCCCATTATATAGGTTTTGTAAAAAGAGGTTATCATGCTAAAGCAAGTAGAAATGGGATTCTTCATATCATATTTAAATTTCAAGTCAATAACATCATCTCTGTCTTCAATTCTCCCTTTAATCTACTTATTGTCTGTCTTTAAAATGGACAAAGAGATGTTCCAAGTATGACGTTAAGGACAGCTGAGTTGTTCTGATGGTACCTCCAACAGCCTTCTTTTTAATAGATGTGCTTAACATCTTTATGTTAATATTATTTTGAAGTAAACTTTTATATAATAATGCTCGCATTTGCTTCTGATGAACTTTGTGTTGCATGATCAATTATGCAGGATTCACAAGACCCAAATCCTTTGATTCGTGCTTTAGCTGTCCGGACGATGGGTTGCATTCGTGTCGATAAAATTACAGAATACCTTTGTGATCCCCTTCAGAGGTGTCTCAAGGTTGATTTTTCAAGCTAATACTTTTTTGGGCATGCTTGGTTATTGAAACTTAGTGTTAAATGTATTAATAGTTTTCAGCTTGCAGTGTTTACTTCTCAACATTTTGAAAAGTATTTTACTTGGTTTGCGTCTTGCTATCTGTTTCTTAGTTTTGTGTACTTTATGACAGGATGATGATCCATATGTTCGCAAGACAGCAGCCATATGTGTTGCCAAACTTTATGACATAAATGCGGAGTTAGTTGAGGATAGGGGTTTCCTGGAATCTCTCAAGGATTTGATATCTGATAATAATCCTATGGTTGTAGCAAATGCTGTGGCTGCTCTGGCTGAAATTCAAGAGAATAGTAATAGACCCATCTTTGAGATCACTAGTCACACTCTATCAAAGCTCCTTACCGCCTTAAATGAATGCACAGAGTATGTGTACTGTCAGTAGTACTTATTCAATTATTTTTATGCATTGAATACATTTACTTCTGACCTACTATTTATGCCACTGCAGATTATGTTGTTCTGTTTTATCTTTGTTGAGATCCTTTTCAGTTGTTTCTCTAACTTGATTATGGTACATGTTCAGGTGGGGTCAAGTTTTCATATTGGATGCTCTTTCTAAATACAAGGCAGCAGATGCTCGTGAAGCTGAAAATATAGTAGAGCGAGTTACACCACGACTACAACATGCTAACTGTGCTGTTGTACTTTCAGCTGTTAAGGTGACAATTCCATTTTTTTAATGTTCTGAATCATATTGTCCTTGTGCTTTGAATTATCATAATCTTGATTACTTCCATCATTGTTTTGTCTTTTCCCTACCTTTTTACTTGCAGATGATCCTCCAACAAATGGAACTTATCACTAGTACTGATGTCGTCAGAAATCTTTGCAAAAAGATGGCTCCTCCACTTGTGACACTACTCTCTGCTGAGCCTGAGATACAATATGTTGCATTGAGAAACATCAACCTTATAGTACAAAGACGGCCTACAATCCTTGCCCATGAAATAAAGGTAAATCATTGTCAGTCTTGACTCTTGCTGCTTGATCCAGAACTGTACACGCTCATATATGCACACAAGTAGCTGATATTTGTTTTTGACCATGCAAGGCAAGCTTACATAGTTCTCAATTCTTTTCTAGGTATTCTTCTGCAAGTACAATGATCCAATTTATGTAAAGATGGAAAAGTTAGAAATCATGATAAAGCTTGCTTCAGACCGAAATATAGACCAGGTATGTAAATCTTTCCAGGATTTACTATTTCATATTAGACTTGAATGGTTGAAAGATGTCACAATCAAAAGCTGCCACCATACCGAAAAATCATGCTTTCTTCAACATTTCTGCAGGTTTTGTTGGAGTTCAAAGAGTATGCTACAGAAGTAGATGTGGATTTTGTTCGAAAAGCTGTCCGTGCCATTGGTCGCTGTGCCATCAAATTAGAAAGAGCAGCTGAGCGGTGCATTACTGTTCTACTTGAGCTGATAAAGATCAAAGTAAACTATGTAGTTCAAGAGGCCATTATCGTCATCAAAGATATCTTTAGAAGATATCCGAATACGTAAGTTCTGGGTTTTTAGTGTGATTCTTTCTTTTATAGTTATTATTGTGATAATGAAGGCTTCGTCCCCTCCAAACTTTGTCATGGATTTCTATCTTGATTACAGCTATGAATCCATTATTGCAACTCTCTGCGAAAGCCTAGACACTTTAGATGAACCAGAAGCCAAGGTACTTATGTTTCTCTTCCTGTTAAAAAATAGTTTTACAGCTCAAAATTTCTGGTTTTGCTTTTTCACCTGCTAAAAAAAAGGTTTCACTGCCTAAGCCTTCTAATTTTCACTTATTGTGTTCTCTTTCTCTCTCTCTCTCTCTCTTCGCGCCCCCCCTCCCCTCTTCAAAAGGCATCAATGATCTGGATAATTGGTGAATACGCGGAAAGAATTGACAATGCTGATGAGCTCCTTGAAAGCTTTCTGGAAAGTTTCCCTGAAGAGCCTGCACATGTCCAGTTGCAATTGCTGACTGCAACTGTCAAACTCTTCCTTAAAAAGCCAACTGAAGGGCCACAGCAGATGATACAGGTTTTGCTTTTGTATTATCCATCAAGATTGATCCTCTTTGACTAATGTTATCCTTCATTTTCAGTAAATGACTTATTAAAATGTGTAGTACCATCAAGGAAGCAACTATATTTTTTATTATATTGTTGCAATATAATGTAATATCTAAGGGGCAAGTGCACTCTCTTTTTACTATGAATTAGAATGCCTAAGGTGTATTCATTATTTATTTTTGAAAGTATTTCCTTGCTTACTTGGACCAAAATTGTTTAGATATGATCTAAGTAAAATTCTTACTTTGTAGACTTATATGTGCAGGTTGTTTTGAATAATGCTACTGTGGAAACAGACAATCCCGATTTACGAGATCGGGCCTACATATATTGGCGCCTTTTATCAACTGATCCAGAGGTGGGTTTGGCCAAAACGACTTGCAGTTTCTTTGTCAATATAATAGCTAATATTTGGCCTACTATTTCTGGCCCTCTCTCTTACTTGAAGTATTTTGTTTCTTTGTCAATCCAATCCATACATGGCCTTTTCTTTTACTTGTACAAGCGCACATTTATATTTCTTTTTTCTTTTGGGAAGGCGAGCGTGGGGATTGGAATCTTCTATTGTGAAGATTGCAACAGATTGCCATTAAAGTGTTCATGCGTATGCAACATATGTATAATTGGCCTACAGTGAACCTTTAGAAAAACCATAGTTTGACAACTTAGAATAACGTATTATGTTGGGGCTGTACCATTGAGTTGTATGTCTCATGGGCATGCTTCTTATTTCTCAGGCGGCCAAGGATGTTGTGTTGGCTGAGAAGCCAGTGATCAGTGATGATTCAAACCTGCTTGATCCATCTCTTCTTGATGAGCTTCTTGCAAACATTGCCACATTATCCTCTGTGTATCACAAGCCCCCGGAAGCATTTGTTACCCGTGTGAAGACCACAACCCAAAAAACTGAAGATGAGGACTATGGTAGTGAAACAGGAAATTCTGAATCACCTGCTCATATTGCTGACAGTGCTGCATCCCCACCAACCAGTTCAGGTGCTCCATATGCTGCAGCAAGACAAGCAGCCCCTGCACCAGCTTCGCCTGCACATGCAGCTGCTGCTCCAGTACCAGATTTACTTGGTGATCTGATTGGCCTGGAAAATAGTGCTATCGTCCCTGTGGATCAGCCTGCTTCTCCTGCTGGGTAAGTGTTAGTATAAAGGAGGTTGCATAATGTCTTACTTATGTCATAGATACTTTGTAAAGTGGAATGGAATGGTTGTGGATGATAGTCTCAAAATAAACTTATATATGAGCTGCTGTTTGAGCGAATGAATTATAGTTTTAAAAAAAAAAGATTTTCATTAGTTTCATTATGTACAAAGCATACTATCGATAAACCTTACCGGATTTTCTGACCTTGATTGCAGACCTCCATTGCCTGTCGTGCTACCAGCATCAACTGGTCAAGGTTTACAAATCAGTGCTCAGTTGACACGTAGAGAAGGCCAAATATTTTACAGTTTATTGTTTGAGAACAACACACAGAGTCCATTAGATGGGTTCATGATTCAATTCAACAAAAATACATTTGGTCTTGCAGCTGCTGGACCCCTTCAGGTAGATATTACTCATGTGATTTTGAGTAGGATTTCTCGCCAAATAAAATGTTAACATAAAACATTACTGTCTAATAGGTTCCACAAGTGCAACCTGGGACATCAGCGGGGACTCTCCTGCCCATGGTTACATTCCAGAATATGTCTCAGGGTCCTCCAAGCTCACTATTGCAGGTTGCTGTGAAAAACAGTCAACAACCAGTCTGGTACTTTAACGATAAAATCTCATTGCATGTCTTCTTTACTGAGGATGGGAGAATGGAGCGTGCAAACTTTCTTGAGGTAAAATCATCTTGCACCTTCTGTTTCCTTTCAACTTCAGTGTAAGGCCATTTGCATCTTCAATGCTGGAACTTCACGTCCTACTAAGATATAAAACCCCAAATGAAGCGGATAATCGCTGTTGGTTTTTTGTAACTTCGTGGCTATATTATTACTATATACCCATTTAAGAATTACCTAGTTTTGTTAACATAGAAGGTAGCTAGGTTGGGAGATGATAGAATACCATCAATGGACATCTAGCATCCCATTAGGAACGTTAATAAAGCAATGCTATGAATTTTTATTTTACCTTTTAAATAAAAAGCTCAAGAGGATTTGGTGAAATGAAGATGAAGTGGGTTGTTCGTTAAAAGTGGGAATTTTACTAAACAAAGTTCTGGCACAGAGGTTATAAATGGGGTTGAAAAAGCGGAAAAGTAGAGTGATCTAGTACTTATTGATACAGAGATTCTGATAATTTGCTGGTACTGTAAATTAGTTGTACTAAGAGTCTTGATTGTAGCAAACAAAACCTGATGCTTATATCCCCATTGCAGACGTGGAGGTCCCTTCCAGATTCAAATGAGATTACAAGGGACTTCCCTGGAATTGTGGTGAGTAATGTTGAAGCGACTCTGGACCGCCTAGCGGCTTCAAACATGTTCTTCATTGCGAAGCGCAAACATGCCAACCAGGATGTGTTCTATTTCTCTGTAAAAATCCCTCGAGGAATACCTTTCTTAATTGAACTGACCACAGTTGTCAATAACCCCGGCGTCAAGATTGCAATCAAGACTCCAAGCCCAGAGACGGCACCTCTTTTCTTTGAAGCCATGGAGACTCTCCTCAAGGATTGATTCTGTTTTATATGTTTATATTTTTTTGTATCTCTCTTATTTTTTGTTAGCATTTGTACACTCAGCCTTGGCTATTGAGTTTTTTGTCATCTTTCTGCCATTCTTTGTACTTTAACTCTCTCATTGCCACTTAGATTGACCTTGAATTGTTCAAACTTGTGGTTTTATATGTTTCAATAGTTTCACAAGTTGTAATCTCGATTGGACTTGGTGTCTAAGGGTGTGGGTTCAGCTCGTTGGTCGATACTATTATGCAGAGAAATGTACCAGGATTGTTTAAAGCTCTAGTTAAACCTGTTATTATATTCTTTTCCTTTACATAGTGTTTTTTTAGTCCCTTTTCAAATGATCTCACGTACTTATTAATTTTTAGACGATGCCCTGTACATTTTCCGATTGATTCTGTGGCATTTACTGGTACTGTAAGTTTGCTCTAATTCTTCAACCCACAAGCAATAATGTGTACAGTAGACTCACAACTCAGTGAGGCTGCTACCGTTATAATTGGAAAAGCAAAATATTTGCTATTTTCAATTGCAACCAGATGAATGTCTGTAATTAGGAAATTTGGTACCCCTTTGATGCTTTCAAACTTCAATCCAACGGCTCTGAGTTAAAGATCCACATTCATATTCACTAAACTTATATTCTAAGGTTTGCCTTCGTGTACATAGGTGGTTTTAACTCTTGAAGACCCTCGGTGAGTTGTAAAGTCATGGAAAATGACGGGGATATTCGTGTACATAGGGGCTACTGTCCAGCCGTATCTTAGCATGTGTTGTAAACGGACTTGCATTAACAGCTGAAAGTTACAAGAGCGCACTGATTTCGTTGTGAACGTACTTACATTTCCGAAATTGAAAATCAGTCGCATGTAGACGCACTATCCTCGGAGTTATTTATGGGTGTGGAGCCTGGACTTCCAAAATTTTCTATATCCTTGGTGACTCTATGATTGCAGTAGTTGCCGTGCAATTATAAAATTTAAGTGACCTTTCATGGTTACTCACTCCTATGCTTTTGTCCCATCACAATCATAATCTCTCATCGACCAATACCAGAACTCCATTAGTTTTCTATTCGCTCAATGGATGGAACAATTCAGTCATAATAATGAACCATGTGTAGCGTTGTAATCGTCTTTGGGAGAAATGATGGGGACCGATGAAACTTGTGTCCAAAGTTTCCTTCTTTTAATCAAACTATTTATTCTACCACTTTCTTCCCATCACCATCATATAAACCAATGGAGATCAAACGTTAAAAATGCATGGTCTTGCTTATTTTTCATATATATATATAAAATTCCAGTGAGAGCTACAAGTAACATGGTTTTGGATTAGGACTTGTGTTGTTTGATCCACCTGTTTTCCATAGCTTCATAAACCTCTTCAATATTCAGTCAACCTATCATATTTATTACACAGAAAATTATCAACCACATGCTAGAACTTGTGCATTAACACATTTGGATTTTGAGACCTCTTCCGATATTGTTCGAATGTTGAAAATAAATATCATTAGACCAATAGTCCGTTGGTATTATTTACATGTATCTTTGATAAGAGGTATGTGACAATATTTAAATCCTCTAACACAATTGTGTGAATACTGTACCATCACTCGTTTAGGCTATCTCTAATTCTCGGCTAAGTTTAAATCTGAGGGAAATTACTTAAAAACTAACTTTGATCATTCCCCTTGAACTTAAATTTGGGTGATTGGATTCCCAATATGACTCGACCAAAAGGATGTTATTCTCTAAATTCGACTTTGTAATTTGTAAATGGCCTAATGTGGGTGGATTGTAAAAGTAGGGATTGTCCAAATTAAAAATGAAAATTCTAATTCTAAATAAAGCATAAAACTTTTGGTGAAAAAAGAAAAAGGAAAAGAAGGAATCTGAGTCAAGTAGGCGTGGGTGGCCAACTAAATGCTGGAGCTTCTTCTTCCACTTGCACGTGGGAATTGAGAAAGCAAAGCAGCGTTCCAAATTGCATTTGTTTTCTTCTCCTTTCGGGTTTGAGACTGTCTTCCTCCCACCGCGTTAGGGCATCTGAGTTGAGTTGACTCAGCGATTCCGCCACCCAGAGGTAAAGCTACCTTCAATATTTTCCCTGATTTCAATCTCCTCTCTGAAAATTAACCTAGAGCTTTGAAGGTCTTTGAGGCATTTTGGATTTTTATGCCTGTCAATTTTTCAAGAATTTATTGGTATTTGACTGCTTTAATTTGAAGTACTTAAATAGATGTCGGCCATGATAGATATATACTGAGTATTTCGAATTATTGTGTTAAATCTAACAAGAACAGAACAAAGTTTGAAATTTTGATTTGTATAGTTTGTTTGGTTCCTGAGAAAATGCAGGAAAAGTAGATGGGATTTCAAATATTTTCTTTATATGGGTATTTTGGAAACTTAATTCTGCATTCCAATGAGCTCGATTAAACCTATTTGTAGCTGAACTATGTATTCGTTGTGTGTTTATCACCTCCTAGAAAGTAAAAAGATAATACATTTGCGCACTTGATCTTTTTTGTGTTCGTGTGTGTGTATGCATATATATGTACATGTACACATTCAAAATCTGAATATATGGTTTCAGACCCATTTTTGGTTTTATGAATGAACATTGCGGACATCTGTTTTCACTTTATAGCTGCACTGAAATTTTCATAATATTGAAGGGTATCTAATATCGTATACTTGTTTTTATGTGTGTACCCGTAGATGCCATACCCAAGAGAAAGAAGGTGAGTCCCATTTTAAGTTATGTTTGCAGTAACAAGTTTGTTCACTTCATAATAAGATAAGTCATATTGGATATAACTTATAAGTCTCATTTGCTTTTGGTGGTTATTGACTTAGGTCTGCTTCACCACACAGCTCCCCTTCACCTGTAAGAGGCCGCCGGTCAAGATCATTGTCAAGGTCTAGGAGAAGTCGCTCTAGGTATTCTGGAAATCTCAATTTGTAAATTGTTTTCAAGGTCACATTTTGGAATATTTGTGGTTTTATTCAAACCGAATTAGTGGGTTTGAGCTTTGTTGAGTTGAGTTTAACATTAAACTGGTTTCTCTTGCTCCAGGAGCCAATCTGTTGATGCATCCAATCCTGGAAACAATTTGTATGTAACAGGCTTATCCACAAGGGTCACCTCCAGTGATCTTGAAAAATTCTTTAACAAAGAAGGGAAGGTACGGGTGATTGCACATTTAGTTTTGGAATTGTATATGGCACACATATTACCCTGAGACAACTTAATGTAGATTTAATTTATTGTTCTATGGGGATTTCAAATGACTGCAACTTTTTTACACAAATATCTTTTGAAAGAAAAAGTAAGGAAAGAACCAACTTGAAAATAATTAAAGTTTCAGTCGTTTGGGACCATATTTTGAAATTGGTCCCTTGTTTTTCAATTAGCTATTGTAATTTATATTTGGATCTACCTGGAAACAAAAGGAGACTTGTGAGTTCCAAAGAAGGGAGTGACTTCTTAGAGCACTTCCAGCAGTTGCCCTTTGCCATGGCAAGGGGGGGCGCTAGGGCAGCCACTATTCACTTGAATAGTGGCTGCCCTTGCAAAAAGCAATGTTGGTTTCCAACAGTTGCCATGGCAAAGGGCAAACACTATTCATTTTTATGTTTTTTTTACAAATTTGTTTACCTAAACAATTAATTTGGATAATATTTTCGGATAAGATTTTTGGTGTGGGAAGTGAAAAATATGACTAAAAAAAAATTCTGAATTTTTTTGTATTTTTTTCGATTTTTTTTTTAAAATTTTTTGTTGCTGACGTCAGCTCGCCCGAGTTTTGGACCTGGGGCTGGACTTGCCCTTGGGCCAGCCCATCTTCGTGGCCCCCACATGCAGCCCAGGCTAGCCTGCACTGCTGGAACCTGTTTTTCGCCCAAAACCCCCCCAGCCCGAGTCCAGCCTTAGCTGCTGGACTTGCTCTTAGGAAACTCAACAGCTATCCTTTCCGTTTACTCTTCATTCCTGGGATTCAAGAGAAGCCTTACATGGGATTCAAGAGAAGCCTTACAAGTGATTCTTGTAAAAACAATAACTGTTCTAGTTTCTAACATAGTGTTTGTGCCGAGAAAATGTGCTTTCTTTTCTTTCACTGGAGTTTAAATACTAGGTCATTTAAGGAGAGGTGCTCTGTGTTTATTAAGTCATGGCTTTACGTCCATCTGGAAAGTAATAACCTTAGAGTACCTTATTAGAGATCATATTTCGAAAAAAATTACATATAAGCTCTGGTTTCAGGTTCTGGAGTGCCATCTGGTTACAGACCCTCGCACCAGAGAATCTCGTGGATTTGGGTTTGTCACAATGGAAACTGTTGAGGATGCAGAACGCTGCGTCAAATATTTGAATCGTTCTGTGCTTGAAGGTCGATTAGTAACTGTGGAAAAGGTATTAGCTTCTGTCAAAGGATCAAGAAAGTTACTGTGCAGTATGCAGCTAAACTATTTGTACTTTTTATTACTATTATAATTTTATGAAGATTTGCTTTCTTCAGAAATGTTGCCTGATAAGTTTTGGCAGCAGGTCTGGTCACTGTAGCTTCATCGAATTCACAATCTAAGCTCTAAACAGTTGAAACTATCCATTCACGACATGAGTTCTGCGTCGACATTCAAAACTCATCAATTCAAATTCAACTATTTTGCCGAGGGTTGAACCCCCTTTATTCCTCTTTCTTCATTGGCAACAGCGTCTGCCATGGTTGTTTAACCTTAATATTTAAGATACCCTAGAGACATGGTAAATTCTTCTTGTTGCATTTTCTTTTTGGGCTTATCCTACTTAATCAATCCAAGATATTTATTTATCTTATTTGTTAAAATAAACGTTGGAAGTTGGACAGAAAATCTCCTTGCGGCCAGTAGGTTAGCATGGCATGCCGTTGACTTGTTGTACAGTTAGGAGGGTTACTTTAAGAATATGAGAATAGTTGCACCGTTCTGGACCTTCCAATTGTGTGGATTATAGTCATCCGCATGGAAGGCGGTTTCCAGTTATCTTCAAGTAATGTGTAGTTCCAAGCAGCAGCTTATTGAAGGCACTGTTTACTGCTTTGAGTAAATTGTTGACTTGTTTATCTGCCGTGATGTTATCTTGCATTTTGTGTATATATGCAGGCAAAAAGGAAGCGAGGGAGGACACCAACTCCAGGAAGGTATCAAGGTTTAAGAGATAAACGAGGTACAGACAATATTAAGTATTGTATGTTTCTAGCAATGGTATTTTGTCACTGACCTTGGGCCATTGTTTTCTAAATTTGGGCCACATCTGCACCCATGTTATTTCCAGATGATGACACGGGTTGGACACCAAATTCTCATTTAGAACTTTTGTCACTCTTATGCCTGTACGTAACTTTGGCCACACTACCACATGAGGTTTAGCGTGTTAACTATAGGTCTGAGAAATATGCACTCGGGGTGTATTTTTGGATGCAGAGCCTAGTAGCTAGAAATATGTGGTCGTCTTCCTGTTCAGCCCCCCTTTTGATTTGTTCATTGAAAGATGAGTTTTAAAAAAGATCACCTTAGAAATCTATGATGTTCATACTTCTCATCCTGTCCTTGTTATGACAAGTCTGTGGTGCCTCTTTCCCTTTGAGATGGGAAAGTGCTGCATTTTGACACAGCATTCAGACACTTACTTTACCATAAATATATGCACTATTCATATATTCATATCTCATATAAACCCTGGTTAAAAAGATGCAGGACGTGATCATGATCGTGATCGTAGACGATCTCGTAGCTATTCACCGCGTCGGTTGCCAGACAGAGATCCGTATTCCAGGGACCGTCGAGGAAGATCACGCTCTCCATACAGTAGGAGGGTGGATGAACATTCAGACTCGTACAGGAGGCGCAGGGAACGATCCTTGTCAGGTGGCAGAAACCCTAGATAGAGCAAATTCATCCAAATGTGCTTCTGCTCTTCTCTGCACTAAATTGTTTAATGTCTATGATGTGGGATTTTAAGATCTTAGTACTATTTGCCCTTTTATTTTACCCATCGTTTCCTGTAATGTTGTTGTACTTGTGTTGTATGTTAACAATTTGCTCCAAACTGACACCTGACTAGTTCACTATTGTTATGGCAGCGTTCACATAAAGATCTTGTATGCCATATTTGCTGTTTGTTGATAACTTTCTCCCAAGCTTGCAAGTTTATGTTGTGGTGTTGCCATAAAAATGTTTGTAGATTTCACCTCATCAACGATCTTGGTTCTGCTCAGACTAGCAGGACCACTGGATTACTACCCAAGTTTGAATATGTAATTTTGATTTACAGCTTAACAGAGCATATTAGGCATGTAGGATAAATATAATTCTTGCTCCATTCTAGTAGGTTTAGCGCGGGGCAAGACGTGACGAATACGAGTATGTTTGAGCGGCATGACGAATATGGGTATGTTTGAGATTGCTTAAACACTTAGGTCCTGTTTGGTTCATGGGAAAGGGTCTTGTTTAACATCAAGAAATCATTTCCCATGTTTGGTAAGTGTAGACATGAGAAATGGTTGCCTTGCATATAGAAAAGTAGGGGGGAAAGTGAAGCCCTCCTCTCCCCTTGGGTTTTGTTTTCCTCTTTATAGGAAAGTTTGGGAAAATAAGCCAACATTAAATGCACATCTTTCATGAAAATTTTATCCCCATTAACAATTTAGAATTACAATATAACATTAAATGCATTCTTTTTTTATTTGATTTCATATGAGTATAATTTGAAAATTAAACAAACATTGTTTTACATTCATATACAAACCAAATATGTGAAAGGAAATAAAATAGTATTTATTGGTTACTTTCCCAGAATTACCAAACATGGAAAATGAATCTTCCATTTCCCATCCCTTGAAAAGACATGACAAATTATTTCTCATCAAATCATTTCCGTAAATCAAAAAGGGCCTTACACTAAGCATTTTTGTTAGAAGTGATTTTATTATTTCTCATCAGAGATATTTTGTATGTTCCACAAGCACTTTTAGATTAATCTGCTAATCGTTATCAAAAGCATTTTTGGTTGTATGTTCCACAAGCACTTTTAGATTAATCTGCTAATCGTTATCAAAAGCATTTTTGGTTGAACACATTCTACATGGTGGTACAAATTTTGCATCCGAAGTCTTATGTTCGGTACCTCATCCCCAATATCGTTTGAATAAAAAGACCAAAACATGATACTCGTCTAGAAGGAAAAAGCGAGGGAAAACTGAAGAGAAAACTAGAAAAAAGGAAGAAAAGGGTACACGTACGAAATATGAAAAAAGAGGGAAGATAGATTGAGTAGCCTAAGAGAGGAGAGAGAAAAAGAGCATGTGGGGGTAAGAGAGAAGGGGGCCCCACGCTTTGAATTCCCAAAAATCCGAAAGCGGGATTGTGAGGAAGGAACGAGACTTTGAGTGCGCGCCAGCTGCATTGCTGCATTGCTGCTGCTGCAAAGCAAAGAGCGGACTTCAAATCAAATTTCAAATTTACGCAATTTTTTTCTTCTTCTTTCTTTTTCCGTTTCTTTTCTTTTATTTTTATTTATTTTTTTATTACATTACATAAAATGGTATTGGTGGTAAATAGTACGGTTTTTTTTAACACTGTGCTCTGAATTGTACACTTGCTAGGATAAGATCCCACAGCTGTGTTTCTGACACGTGTACGTCATTTTCTCTCTCTCGAGTGAACGGTCACTTCCGCTTCGGCTTCGGCTTCGGCTAATATGGCTTGGCCTTCTCCTATTCCCAATCTTGAAGTGGACCCAAAGTAAACTTTTGAAAAGACCGAATTGCCCCAAATAATTCCAACGAAACCAGAGCTGAGCTGAGCTGAGGAATGTGGAGAGAGTGAATATCAACCGTTCGAATTTTAGTTGTCGGACAAATGGCAAACAGGTTATATTATTCACATGCATTTACGAAGTTGTTGCCTTTTGGCGGCTCAATTAGCAAACCAAATTTTTTTTCTTCATATGTGGGTCTAATTGTAATTGTGTAATGTAGGGGATAAATATTTGCCAAATTATATGCTCAAAAATCAAATGTCTTAGATCGAACCTTAAACAGTTGTACAAAAAAAACTACATGTGATTTGTGATGTTTGCACGTTTTCAAAATACACCCTAAAATCTTATATTGAACGAACAAGCGAGTTTTGAAAGTTTTCTTTGTTACTCAAATAATAAATGCTATAGATTTTAATTTATAAAAAAATTTAAAATTGCGATTGGAATTTGTGTCTTCTCTAAGGTGAATGGCTTAGGGTTCGTGATACGAAATTTGGGACTTGAGAATTTTCAAATACAATCTTGTTGAAAAACAATTACTTCTTAAAATAATCTACCGAATTTGTTTCATTGAATCTATCAAACCCTTTACTTAGAAAAAAAAATAATTTGTTTAAGCATTAAGAACCAAACCATATACGAGGAAGATTTGATTTTGTTTTATACTTTGTTGGAGTGGATTATGAGTTAAAGTTATTACCTTTTTATACCCAAAAGAAATAGTTATGCGTTACAGTGAAAGAGAGAGAGTAGCTTTAACTCATAGAGAACAATTCCGTTCAATCTATATTCAATGCAGTATTCTTGTGAGAAAACTAATCCATGTGTATGTATATTCTGTTTATTCAGGTCTTGCATGATGTCACTGCAAATGGAAGCTTGATGATAAGCATAACTAGGAACCAAACCATGAGATGTTATGAATTCATAACCATGATTGAACGGAATATTACCTTTTTATACCCAAAAGAAATAGTTATGCTTTACATTGAACCCTGAACCAAACCATGAGATGTGGTGTTGTGGTAGCTCACCTCATTCCTTAATCATGAAGTTGGGGGTTCAATCCCCGCTCATGGGAATGGAGCGCATTTTGTGGCCAGCCATTTACCTCCATTGGGAGAGCTTCTGCGGCGAAAGGGATTAGTCACTGCTGTCGGCGGTGGATACCCTTGGGTCTCACCTAAAAAAAGAGAGAGAGTAAATATTTATTTTGTTCAGTAAACTTCCAATTTTCAGATATTTACAAAGGAGCCCACATGATCACGGAGCAGATATGTATGGCCCCATGCACCAGTCCTTTAAGCTCCCATCACACGACAAAAACGACAACCATCTCTGAGCTTTAAAAGCCGAGCCGAGCCTGCCCTCCCATTTCAACAGGCAATAGCCGGTTTCACCGGTTACAAAAGGCGTGACCGTACGGCAAATGGCAGGTCGTTTCCTTGGCAGTTGGTAAGCATTTAGTGTGCTCCTTCTCTCTCTCTCTCTCTCTCTCTCTCAGCAAATTCCAATCTTTTTCACTGACTCTTAAAAAAAAGCCTCTGCATTTTTCACAATCTTCAATTGATTCATTTTCTTTCGTCTTCCAGATCCCTCTAAATTGTTCAAAACCCTGTTTTTTGTGCTGATTTTTGTTTTCTTCTCAGAGCTTCTTATTATATTGCTGCCATTCAAGCAGGTATTAATCTGGTTTTTCAATTTGGTTTTGGACACATTTCGGTTCATAGCCAGTTCTGATTTTGGGCTGGTTCAAATTCATGTCTTGCTGATTTTAGCTCCAAAATTTGATAAATTTGTTACCAGCTCACACACTGTTCTCATTTTGTTTTTTCTTGGTTTTTATGATTATGGTTTATTGGTATTCACTTTGTCATGGTTTTGTTCTATGGTTATAATGCAATCAAATTTTCTTAATTCCTTGTTGTCAATGAAACTTTGAAGCATAGCTGAGCTTTTGAAAGAAAAAAAAAATCCCAAAGTGAGGCATAAACAGTCAAACGAAAATGTTGTGCCTGTTTTTCCTTTTTCCTTTTATTTAATCATGTTGGTTTTGTACCCTTTGTCTGATTAGCTCAGTTAAGTCGGTTTTTTGCTTAATAATTATTTTATTTATTTTTTAGATTGGTCATGGTTTTTTTAAGTTCAAATTGAATTCTTTATTTCTGAATTTCCGAAACTTTCTCAGCTGCCAAACAAGGTTTTGGGATTGCTTTGGTTGGGTGCTGATATATTTTCTCGGTTTTTAGTTGACTGCTGATGTATTTTCACTGCAAGAGTGAAGAGTTTTCTTTTATTAATATTTTTCTAAAGAAAATTTTCAGCACTTTTTGATGAATTCTTATAGAGAACAATTCCGTTCAATCTATATTCAATGCAGTATTCTTGTGAGAAAACTAATCTATGTGTATATATATTCTGTTTATTCAGGTCTTGCATGATGTCACTGCAAATGGAAGCTTGATGATAAGCATATCTTCGATCTGAAGCAACAGTGCTTCATTTAATGCGATCAATCTTAGCCCGTGAACCAGTGATTGGATTCTATCTTCTTTGCTCATAGCATTGAACATTTCCCTAAAGAGTTCGTGTCAGACCTCAAGAATTTGCTCATTCATAAAGAAGAAGGGTCTCTTTCTCTCTCATTAGAATTAATTCCAATCACTTTATGTCTCTGGGTTTATTTATGACATGACCTTTATTTATATTCTGCTTCAGGGATCAAAATTGGAGCTTGGGATCTTCTTCTTCAAAAATAGAATAAAAAACCTTTGTTGGCTAAATGGGTGCACAAAATTTCTTCTATCTGTGCAAATTAGTTGGAGACTGAGACTTGATTTTATCCTAATTGGTAGGAGAACATCTTAGAAGTTGGGTATTGAGTAGTGGAACATCTTAGAGTTTAGTAATATATAAAAAACCCATTTGAGAAAGAGGTCTTTAGGATTGAAAAGATGGTTTTTTATTTCTCAAACTGGCCAATTCAGAAGTTGGGTATTGAGTAGTGGAGCTAAAAACACTTCTGTGCAGTGGTTTTATTTCTTTTTTTAATTTTTTCTGATCCAAATTGGGAAGAATGCTAGAGCCTGAGCTCTGTTCTTCTAGGATGCTATCGCCTTTTCGCGAGGAAAGTGGGGATGAGGAACTTTCAGTTCTTCCCAGGCACACCAAGGTCATTGTCACTGGAAACAATAGAACAAAGTCTGTCTTGGTGGGTCTGCAAGGTGTGGTCAAGAAAGCTGTTGGACTTGGGGGTTGGCACTGGCTGGTATTTTCTTATTACTTTCGTAAACTGCTTTCTTTTCATTTAATTTGCTCGTAATTTGCTTTATGTGGGCTTTGGGCGTCATTTTGTTTTTTGTTTTTTTGTTTTTGGAACTGTTGTGCCTAATTTTTGCTTTGATGTAGTTTTCTAGTTTATTTGGGTCGTTTTCTTTTTCTTTTTCTTTGGTCAACTGTGTTTTTTTTTAGGTTGGTAAAAGAAAGCTGAACTCTTAAGCATTTTTCTTTTTTACAATACTATTTTATTTACTTTCCTGGTTTCTGGGTACGTAGGATAATAGGTCTGTGCACTGTTGTGTTTGTGTTGTGTCAAATTTTCCTCATTTACTCATTCAAACACGTCTTAACTTCATGGGACAAAATTCAAAGAAATTTGTATGTTTAACAATATCCCATAAAATTAGGCATCAGTCTCCAGCAAGGCACGGTTGTTTTCTGCTTCGAGTAATAGAGGGTTTTTGCTTTTCCAACCAATTAAAGATTTACGTTCTTGGACGGCAAAATAGGAATTGTAGTTTTCTCTAGTTGGGTTTCATTGACGACCATTTGCATAGAGCTCTCATCCTTTATGAGCTTGCTGGATCTAACCAATCATGTCTGCCAAAGTATTTCTTTTAATGTCATTTTGATTCATAAATTACTGTAAAAGTATGGGTCACTAGAATGCCTTTGAGAGCTCTGTTATGTGTTCTGTTTATTTAATTGCAATTTTTAAAATTATATCTTAATCTAGGGTTAGAGAATTTACCCAATAGCTATTAGTCTATTGGTACTTCTCTTTCCAATCTTGGCAGAGGTCCCAAGTTCGATCCCCTCCCCCTCGTTGATAAAATAAAGTAAAGAAGTATGGTTTCTTGATATTATATCTACTTGTCTAGGGCGTTTGTGAAAAAAAAATTGCACTTCAATACCCTCCACATTTGGGATGCATATTTTAACCCATTAATTTTTGCCATACAAGGTTCTGAAAAATGGGGTTGAAGTTAAGCTGCAAAGGAATGCATTGAGTGTGCTGGAACATCCTACAGGGAATGAAGATGATTCTGATCATGATTACTCTAGCAGCAGCTCTGACCATGGTGACAAGGAGAATGATTTCTGTAAGTTTCATTATACCATACCTGATGACAATTCTAATTTCTTCAGTTATCATATTAACTGGTAGAGTTGTTCCACTGCAACCTGGAGGTTGTTGACTTGAAATGGGAAACAGCCTCTCTGCAAGGAGGGACCATATTCAGATCTTGATGATGGGATTGCTCTTCTTGTCATATTCAATTGGCATTTATTAGAACTTAAAACTATATTTAAGTTTGTTATTGTTTTTCTTTGGGCAGCTAGATGTCTTGAGTTTCACAAATCTAGTAAACCAAGAGTTCGATATCCAAGGCCATATGTTCCATCCACATTAACCAAGTCAATAAATCGCGGAAGTTATAGAGAAGTTCAATCCATCCACAGACCTCAACCGGTAAGAAATTGCAAAAGAGAGATCTAGGTGTTTATGTGATTTATTTGTCCATGTTAATGAAGTTCTTGCCATTGACCCTTTAATCCTTCAAGCAAATGAGTCCCATTATGCTTTCACTTGTTTTGGAATAGTGGTATAAATATTGTGTGGAATAAAAAACGATATTGAATTGGGAGGTTTTTGCTTTAACTCCTTTGGACTAGTTGGATGCTTCATTTTTTGCCTATGATGACCTAATCAAGTAATACCAGATGATTTGCTTGAATATGCTCGTCTGACTCACTACAGTCGTTCTGTTAAATGATACATTTTCAGGCTTAGTGAAGCAATCTTCATGATCTGATATCTAGTTACCCTTGTATAACTATCATGTTGTCTAAGTGAAATCTTCATGATCCCAATTTCTATTTACACACACATTATTGTGTTGTCTAATCCTTTGCATGGATGATCAGAGGGTAAACTTGGCAAAACTAGGAACAAGCACATTGCGGAGGTATTGCAGACACTTCAACCTTGTGGGTATCGCTGATTCCTACACTTTATTTTCTCTCTGCACCTGCCTGGTTATGATGTCTTTTGACTAAATCCAGTTTGCAACTTGAAATTGTAGTTAACCAGCAATTCTAATCCAACAAGAGAACAATTGATCAATGTTGCACAACGACATTTTACATCGCAGCAGGTCTGTCTCACTCACTCGCATACAAGTGTGTAAACATCATATATGCTGTTTGAATGAGTAGTTAGATTTTTACGGTATCCTCTTCTTTTCTTGGTTACAGATGCCATTGGATGAAGTATCGGTGGTCACTGAATTCGTCGATGCTACCAGGAATCGGAAATATGCTGAATGGGCTGGAAAACGTGCAGAGCGAGAGATGTGAATGTTGAAAGGAAGGAATGCTTGTATAATAATATACATATATATATATATATATATCTACCCTAACCTTTAGATCAGATCTAATCATAGACTGATGTGGAGAGTGTTTGGCTTACTATAATCTCTCCCTCCAACCCTAACTTTGTACTACAGTGCTCATGCCTTACCCATGCTATATATCATTAATCATTAGATATCTCCTCTTTTCTATCTGTTACTTGAGTATTAATGTGATGTGGTTGGTTTTTTAAGGAAATGTAGATGTAAATTTATTTATTTTTGGTTTACAACATCTGGGTTTTGCTTGAATTGAGTATCCTATGAAGTTTTCGGGAGCTTCTACAGTGAGGAGTGAGGCGTTTATTTGAGAGGTTCAATTTCACCATCAAACCATTAAAAATGTTTAAATCCACTGCTTTTCTCTCACATTTTTTGATGGTGGAATTGAATTTCTTTCTCAAATAAGCTCTTCACCTTGAACTCCTTGTTATAGCATTTCCGTGGAGAGGAGTTTTCATGTTCTTTTTGGCTTCCAAACTTTTTTGAAAAATTGGGTGTTGGCAATGGGCCATATCTGTTCAAAACTTTAAATGATGAAAAGCATTGGTGGATGTATAACTAACAAACCCCTCAATTATATATAAATAATTAATATTAATTATGGGGTTTGGTGGTGGAGGAGACACGAAGCCAGGCTGTCATTTGGTGACATGGGGATCTGTGTGGTACTGTGGGTCGGGTTGATATGGACATCTTCTTCTCCATGTTGTACCCTACGTGGCCACTCCATAATTTTATTTTCTGTTTTTAGGGTAGGCACCAGAAGAAGGCCACCAGCTCTCCTTTCCGCTGACAAGTTCAACAATTTTGTATTGCAGATAATTTTCATGATTATACTATTGCCTGCTAAATAATTGTCCGAATGAGATGTGTAATAATAGGTAATGCTTTTATGGTGTATCAGAAAAAGTAAAACACTTTTGCCTGAAAAGTGGTATCAAAGTATGACAAATTCGGCCGATGCACCCACTGAGTACAATTATCCACTAGACCCTAGCCCTGGAAGAATTGTCATCCTCTACCACTATTATAAGGATCTTGGGGGGAGTGTTGGCGAGTCCTTACTTAGTTAGGATTTTGGTTCCTTATTTCATTAGAATTTTGGTTACTTACCAATTATTATTTAGTCTTATTGTAATAGAGATTTACTTCCTATTGTAATTTAGATATATTCTCTATTTTATTTAGGGTTAACACATATTTATACTTGTATAAATACCTCCTTATTGGAGAAGAAGAATAATATGAGCATATACAGAATTGTCATCCTCTACCACTATTATAAGGATCTTGTGACCATTCCTCAAAGGTATGCAATGCTAACCACGAAAACCGTCTCGTACACTTTGAAGGTTCTGGAGAACGACTTGGTTGGTCATGCTTACCTAGGTTGGATGAATTGCTTGATCTTAACCTCGAGGGGCCAACAACACTATCTGTTGGTGGGTCCTTACTTAGTTAGGATTTTGGTTCCTTATTTCATTAGAATTTTGGTTACTTACCAATTATTATTTAGTCTTATTGTAATAGAGATTTACTTCCTATTGTAATTTAGATATATTCTCTATTTTATTTAGGGTTAACACATATTTATACTTGTATAAATACCTCCTTATTGGAGAAGAAGAATAATATGAGCATATCTGAAAATATTCTACCCACTTTGTTTGACATGGTATAAGAGCCTAGGTTTTCTTGTGACCTGTGTTTGCGTTCTCCTTGCAATTTAAGTGCTCTCCTCCCCTCCTCTTCAAGGGGGGGAGGGGGAGTGAAAAGGATATGTTTATTGACATATCCGCATTAGCTTAACATATTCCCATGAATATGTTGCTTATTTCTTGACTCCGACGACCTCTTCTCTTAGGGGGAGAGGAAGAGTAAAGAGAAGTTGTCTATGTGAATTAGCTAAAGTTGATATGGAAGAACTGTTGTTGTTGCTGTTGTCATTGCCGTTACCTCTACTACTGTCGTGGATGTTACCGTTGCCGCTATTGTTGCCGTTGATGTTGCCGTTGTTATGGTCATTGCCGATGATGTTACTGTGTTTTGATCTATCTCTACCCTAACCCTAGAGACTACCTATTTCCGTTGCACTATACATCTAGCTTATAATCCTAGTCTGCCACCGCCGCCGTCTACCTTGCTACTGTCATCGCTGCCTACCTTGCTATTGTCACCGCTGCTCATCTATTTTGTTGCAATTTAACCACCTATCTGCCATGGCTGATTCTGCTACATCTCAGTGTTAGTCAGTGCATGTTTCTCAAGTACCATTGATCATATGGCTCCATCGACCCCTTCTCTTCAGGGGGAGAAAGGGAGTGAAGAGAAGTTGTCTCTGTTGTTGCTGGTGCCAATGCCTTGTATTGCTGTTGATGATGCCTGTTATGTCTCTGCCTTGTTGCTCCTGCCTGTTATGGTGCCAGTATTGTTGCTCATGCCTTTGCTAGTGTGTTTGCCTTGCGCTCACAGGGTTTCTGTGTTCTGCTATCTGCCTTATCTTCTGCCGTGCTCACAGGGCTTCTGTGTTCTGCCTTATCTATTGCGGTGTTCATAGGGCTTCTGTGTTCTGCCTTATCTACTGCCGTGCTCACAGGGCTTCTGTGTTCTGCCTTATCTACTGCCGTGCTCACAGGGCTTCTGTGTTCTGCCTTATCTACTGCCGTTGTTGCTGGTGCCAATGCCTTGTATTGCTGTTGATGATGCCTGTTATGTCTCTGCCTTGTTGCTCCTGCCTGTTATGGTGCCAGTATTGTTGCTCATGCCTTTGCTAGTGTGTTTGCCTTGCCTTACCCTATTTTTTAGGGTTTGGTTTCTGCCTTATCTTCTGCCGTGCTCACAGGGCTTCTGTGTTCTGCCTTATCTATTGTCGTGCTCACAGGGCTTTTGTGTTCTGCCTTATCTGCTGCCGTATTCACAGGGTTTCTGTGTTCTGCTATGTGCCCTATTTTTTAGGGTTTGCTCTTGTGTTTTTGCTGCGAACTTTGCTTTAGTTTGTCACTTGTTTCACTCGTAGTTGACAAAAAGACCTTCTCTACAATTGGTGCTTCTCAAGTATGGTGTTCTATGACTTGCTTGTCAAGTTGGGCATGCGAAATATCTTTGCCCAACTTGAGGGGGAGTGTTGGCGAGTCCTTACTTAGTTAGGATTTTGGTTCCTTACTATGTTAGGATTTTAGTTACTTACCTATTTGTCTAGTCCAATTATAATTAAGATTTATTTCCTATTGTAATTTAGATATATTTTCTATTGTAATTTAGATTTATTTCCTATTTTATTTAGGATTGTACTTATATAAATACCTCCATATTGGAGAAGAATAAAAATATGAGCGAATATGAGCGTATCTAAGCATAACTAAATATTTACCCTACTTTGTTTGACACTGTCTACTTTCTATGAAATCCTAGGTAGAAAATGATGTGATTATGCCACCATTGCCATGTTAGTTTACAGAAAATGAATGGGTTTTATGAGCAAAAAGGGCCACAGATTAAGCTAGGGATTTACCAGCTTGTGAGCCTGTATAAGCTGGCTGAGTCAAGCCCAAAAATATTTGTGGGCTTGAAAACAATGGCCCAACCAAATGGGTTGTCCCAAGCAGGAAGAAGGAGCCACCTTGGTTCAACAACAATCAACAAACCCAAACTAAATTTCAACAAATAATTTTATTTTATTTTTTAAAAGAAAAAGACATAATATAATTTTTATTTTATAATATTTTTCTTGAAAACAAGAGAAAAGTATTTATATTTCTCAATTTCAGTACTATTTACTAATTTAGTATTTCTTTTCCCACTGAAAGTGCACACAAACGCAGACAAATACAGAACCAAAAGCCATCTCTCCTCCAAAACGCACTCCTACAAGTCCACCGTCTCCCACCAGTCACCTTCAAATTCCCAATTCCCAAATTCCAAATTCCAATTCCAATTCCAATTCCGATCGAAGCGTTTTCCATCCACAGGTACTAAAATTTTTCCAACTCCGATATTAAAAAAAGTTTGCTAAAAACGAACTGTTTAGAATTTACTTCTTCTTCTTTGTTTTGTTTTTTAATTTTCGAAGAATTTTTGTTCCAAAACCTATTCGATTGATTTTTTTTTTCTTCTTAATTCGTTGGTTTAGAGATTTTGTAGCTGATTACATATTTGTTTCCTCTGAGTATTGGTATCTTCTGCTTTGGCTTTTAGCTTTTGTCTTCCATAATATTTTGATGCTGTGTTTTTTGTGTGTATTTGATTGCCCTTTTGCTTAGTTTTCTTGATTTATGTAAGGTTTTATACCTTTGTTCTTCGTACTGAGCGTTTTTTATATGCATGCTCGTAGTGTTTGCTGCTTTGTTCATGGTATTGGAGAAGTTTGGTTTTCTCTGATTTTTACTTTTTATTTTATAGCTACATGTATTTGTGATGCAGCTAATATCAATAAGAACATGTTGGGATTACTGGGTTTTTCGCTAATGAGCATGGTTGAGTTTTATAAGAATTTGGGCCATTTATATAACTTTCCAAAATCTAGAAAGATACGATATGATCCAGTTAATGATGATTGCTTTGAACTAGTTTCATCAAAATTTAAGAAGGGGACCCTTTGTGTTTGAAGAGCTGGTTTAAGCTGTGGGGGGTGTCAAAACTTAGAAATTGTATTACTGGTTTTGAGATCGTAATTTTTCACAAGACCAAACAAAATAAGATGTTCAACATATTAGCTTACTGCTGTTATTTTTTATTGCTAACTGTGCACATGTTCTGTTATGTCTAACTTTTATTGCTAACTGTGCACATGTTCTGTTATGTCTAACAGATTTTTTCTGCTTTTTTTTTTTTATAAAAAAAAATGTTGAAGGGGATATGTGGCATCAAGTGCCAATAGTTCTAGGTCCGCAGCAGAGATAAGTGAAAGAAGACAATGGGAGGCTGCTGCTGTTGTTCTTCCAAAGGAACTGAACTGAGTGCTGCACCGACATACTATTACGTGAGTAGAATGCTTTTCCTCATCCTAAATGCTTTTCTTTGTTTTTCTATTTCTTTGTGTTGAGCTACATCTTTTCTGTTAAAAGTTTATGTGGCATTTTTTGTTTCTTGTGAATGATCAAGGAGATTTGGCTGTTGATAATTGGCTTGATAAATGAACTCAATCTTTTAGATATTAGAGTAGGTTGGAAGTGAAGTTGATTTTTTTCTTTTTAGTTATCACATTTATTGTTCTATATATATTTGTGAACTTGAATTTGTATGCAGTATCCAAGGTCATCGGATGAGCATGTGCCATTGTCTTCTCGCCAAGGTGTCACCCCTGCATTCTCCACAGGGCTTCTCGTTGATACAAATTTGGATACATCAATACCTGACACTTATAGACCGCCTCCTACCCCTATTCCATATGACGTGGCTGTAGTAGGGCATCCTCAAACTCCACCAGCGGCTCAAGAAATTTGTGGCAACAAGAGTGAAGGTGCATTGCTGACAACAAATTCTGATTCTGTTCATGAAGCAGTTGGTGGAAATGCTCAAGAAGCTTCAGCTAAGTGTGAAGACCTGAAGGATTCAGACTGTAAGGCCCAAACTGATTTTGAACTTGAGGCAGAAAAGAAGTCAGAAGTTGAACTTTCGAAGTCAGTGGAATCTGTTGCTTTAGTACCAGAGGAAGAGGATGTTTGCCCCACCTGTTTGGAAGGTAAAGTCATTAATTCAACTGTTTTAAACTTGTATAAGGGAGAAAATTCTGTTTTACCATTACTCTTATTTTAATAAAAATCCCCTTCATTTGATTATTGTGGGCTTACTGCAAGTTTTCCATTCAAGCTGCATTCTTGGTTTTCCTTTTCCATAAAGATGTTAAACATTTAGTCACTAGACCATTTCCTTTCGTCTCTGCAGAGTATGATGCACAGAATCCAAAAATTACCACAAAATGCGAGCATCATTTTCACCTTGCTTGCATTCTTGAATGGATGGAACGAAGTGACACATGTCCTGTGTGTGATCAGGTTTGCCTTGCTTAATATCTTCTTTTGTGTTGTGATTCGATGAAAAGAGATATCCATTATCACACATAATATTCAGAGGGCTCTTCTTCACTTATGATGCAGGAAATGATGTTTGATCCTCCAATTTAGTTCAACCAGCAATTGAAGTCAAGTTCTTTCCTTATTCAAGATTGGTTTGAGAAGCAGAGGTTACAAATGCACGAAGGTTTTTCTTTCCTCCTTTTCTGTGTTCACTGTTCAGTGACAGTCACAGATATGGCTTTTTTTGGTTTTGTTTCTGGAGTTTGCTCATTCAAATGCAGCGTCTTTGTGCATTTGTTTCCTTTCAACTCAATGATAATGAAAAGGAAGAGGGAGTAGAATTGACACTGGCGTGAAATTAGTATTGAGGTCGATTTTCTATTTGTAATGCATTCATTCTTAGATCGTAGAGCATCGTACTATGAACCATAAAATGACATGGGTTAAATAGATACTGAAGTTGGGGGGTAGTAGTCAGATTCATTGTCCACAATGAGAAGTTAGTTTCCAAACAAGAAAGGCGAACGTATTGTTCTCTCTCTTTCTCTTTCCAAGTATAGTTTGTTTTTTACATGGTGAGCCGGTCCACATGTGAGCAGTTGGTTTTTGCTTTCTCCCTTGAATTGATCATGTAAATGGCATAAAATTACTTGTTCATTGCTGGTGCTCTTCATTAGTGTAATGGAAGATGGAAGGTTCATGTGAAAAGGACTTGTTGGTTTTTCAGATGATTCATGTATATAACTCTGGGTATGGTGATAGGTTTCATTAAGTTGATTGACTTGTAGATTCATGTTATACATGTTAAAAGGTTATGTCTTGTATTTATACTATACATAAATACATATGGTTGCCCCTTTTTATAAAAGCATACAGAGTTTGTTTGTTCATATTTACCAACCAAAAAAGAAACAAGGCCGGGGTGCTTAGCTAAAGTTTTCAATATTTTTCGGCGAATTTCGAACTTAAAGAGTTCAATATGTTCTGGGATTGAAATTGGGAAGGGCTTGCATTGCATGGTTGTGTGAAGGTGGACAAGGCTGGACAAAAAAGTTGAAATAGATTCTAAACTCTTTTGCTTTTTAAAAGACAGCATTGAGGCTTTCAAGTATATTCTGCTCTTCTTGTTCCATTCTAAAATGGAATCTTGGAAGAAACACGCTACTGGGCCTTTTGCATTTGCTAGATGCTTCCCCGTGGTGCTTCTGAAAAAAGCACTTCTGTGAAACGCAACACTGGACACATGCAAAACGCATTGGCCTCGAACCGCATGCTTATGTATGTACCCGATCATTTTCATGTAGTCACGTGAGTGTGTGAGAGAGAGGGAGACAGTGATGATGTGCTGATGAGCCTCGTGTTCTGGGAATTATTCTAACTTAATGAGTTGAGGTTATTTGTCATTAGGAAAGATATCATTGTCATTAGGAAAGATATCACGTACAAGGGCTGATGGTTTTAGTGAGGAATTTATTAATTTTATTAATTGATTACCACTCCATCTTTTATATTTGCATTGCCTTGGTATTAAAAATCAAATGATAAAAGGTAACGGCGGGAGAAAAAAAAATAAAAAGAAAAACTCGGCCAGCCACCGAACTTATCAACTGGACTGAAATGGCTCAAAAATTTTATTTTTTTTAAAAAGAAAGGTTTATGACTCAAATCACCCAACTTGTAAAAGCAGCGTTTTAGATTTCAAAAGAGCGTAATGATAAATACTCTTAATCACCCGAGATACAACTTACAAGTTCCTAGCAATGTTCATCTATCTCCTTAGAAAAATAAAATCAATAAAATGACCCATGTCAATTTCTGACAGCCTTGGCTCCTTTTTTTGGGTCTCCAGTCAATTTCTAACTAATTCTTTGTTCAAAATTTAACAATTTTCAAGTCATTTTGTATTCTTTTTGGAAGGTGGGAATTTTCAAGTCAGAATGTAGACGATAACACATGTTTGATTCTTGTGGGATGCATGCCCCATCTCCATCTGCTTAACTCTCTCAATCAAACACGCAAGATATGCATTAATATCAGAGTGAAACATTATGTTTAGTATGGAGAAAGTATGACCTAGATCTTAGGACATGTTTTATTTTAACCAAATCCTATTAATAAATGAACATTCATTTATTATTGGTTAAATTAATTTCTGGTTCGTCTAGTTTGAGAAAAAAATTACTGATTTTCAATATTACATCCCCCAAATTTGCATAATATCCTTTTAAACGGTTTAGAAAATATCCAAAGAAAAAATAAATAAATACTTCCACTTCATTAAAATAAAGAAATTATAAAAAGATTCATCAAAAATAAATAAGTCGCTTGAGCTAGAGAGGTTAAATATGATTTTGTCAACCTCCTACATCACATTCACATGCCAAGTCATAATAAATACACAAATTTTCTCAAACGTATTTATCAATTTTTTAAACAAAAGTATTCTTTATTCTTAAAAACAATAGTTTTTTTTTTAATACAAGCGATAGTCTAAATTATAAGAGGTAGGGAGTTTCTCTCACACTACCAAGGTGTCATAGGAATTCAAACCTTAACTACCGGTTTGCAAGTTAAAATCATTTTCCACTAGGTTAGACTTCATTAACAATAGTCTTTAAACTAGTTAGATAAAGGGCAAAAAAAAGAGAGATTTTTTTTTTGGAAAGGAACAAGAAGAGAGATTTAAGGAAGCGTTATTCATGCTAGCACGAGAGTATGCCTACGCTCCTCAACCGAAGAATGCTCTGTAAAATGTTCCCTCATCCTAGCGCGAGAGTATGCCTACGCTCCTCAAGTGAAGAATGAGAGTTTAATAGAGAGCGAAAGTAGCCTTTTACGTTGTATATTAGATTAAATTGTTACTCAATATGAAACAAATTTAATTTTCAGTTAAGCTACAGAGATATAAAGAGAGAGATAATTTTAGATCGATCCATATAATTCGTAAATCCACCAATTTACACAAATATATTTCTCAAATTGACATTTAAACGGTGTAAAAAAGAAAATAAATATCAACCTTCTTTTTTCTTTGGCCAAATTTTTTTTAAAAAAAGATTCAGCCTTTGATTTCCACTATATTTAAATAAAATAAAATCACAAATAGATTCATTGAATAGTTTTTTGTCAAGAAGTTTTCATTTTCTCCACTTTCCATAAACATTTGTTTCCTCTCTCTTCTTATATCTGATCGCTGTCTAAATTTTTTGAGTCCAGCTTGTACTGTCACCCACTCATTATTTTCAACAATTCCTCGGCTCCAACGTTAATCTCGGCTGTCCTTTGCTCACACCCATGTCTCCTTTGTCGCCTCTGCAGCTCTGTAAATTACCAAGTTGGTAGCTTTTTGAGGCAAACCCAAAAAGAAAGCAGTACCCAAAAATGTTCAGGTAAATAACAACATTTCTGAAACACTCTACGGAGAGAACAGGGCAAAGGGTCTCATACCCCATGCCCTAAATTGAAATGAATTAGATACCATTTTGTTTGGCCTCCCTCTGTTATTTATTTGTGTATTTGATCTTTGAAAGTAGATAGTCTTATTGGTTTTTCAAGAGTCAAATCGAAGTTCATGGCAGGATGGTCGTCTTTAACACCTGGGTCTGTTTTAGATTGTGTCGAAACTAATGATGCATATCAGAAAAATGGTAGTTGCATTGGTAGTGATATTGATATAAGAGATGATGTTGATTGTGATGAGGATGATGATGAGGTTAGGCTAAGATGTACATTTGATCAAGTTCTATCTGTTTTTGTTAAGGAAATTGGTGATAGAAGTGTTGTTAGGCCCATCCCTGCCGTGATTGATGATAGGCAGCCTGTGGATTTGTTCAAATTGTTCTGTTTGGTGAGAGATAGAGGTGGTTATGATTGGGTTTCGAAGAACAGTTTGTGGTCTTTTGTGGCCAACGAGTTGGGTTTGGATGGTGGAGCAACGGCTTCTGTGAAATTGATTTACTTCAAGTATTTGAATGAGCTGGAGAAATGGTTTAGGGAGAGTTGTAAAAGTAGGAGCTCCGGAAATGGGCAGTCTGGTTTGTATGGGGAGTTTCAGTTGTTGTCTTCGGAGTTGGGGAGAGAGTTTAGAGATTTGTTGTTGGATGGGCCTGAGCAGAAGGGCAAAGGTAATGGACCGGTTCAGTTTGAATCTGATGAAAATGGGAAGATTGAATTCAATCTTTCAGATACCAAAGATGCATATGGAATGCATGTAGGTGCCGACCAATGCAGAGAAGATGATGAAGAAAAAGTTTGTAATGATGATCAGAATGGTGTTTTGATATCACTCGATAGTCTCAATAAAAAAGAAAATGATCGTAAAAGAAAGCGAGAATCCTTATCAGGAATGCTGAATTGGGTAGTTCAGATTGCAAAGCAGCCAAATGATCCTTCAATTGGAGTGATACCAGGGCCAACTAATTGGAAGGAGCATAAGGGCGATGAGTGCTGGTTCCAGGTAATTAGAGCAAGGGAAGCATTGCTGCTAAGAAGGAATGTTGATTCAAAGACTGAAGAATCTCTCCTGCAGGTACATTTGTTTATGTTGTGTGTTTCTCTAAAGGTTTTTCGCTTCTGGACCACATCCATTTGTCAAATTTCACATGCATGGCATGGTTACTCTTTCAAGTGTACTCTCCTCTCCCCTTAACCGTGTTATCCTATGAAGTTAAAAGAATTGTTGCTTTTATCTTTAAAATTTGAAGTTATTAATGAAATTATGAAATCAACAACCCCTGTGATGAGTTCCCGTTGTTTCTGCCTTGAGTAAGTTAACCTCCACGATATGACATTGTCATCCACCTCAATGCAGCTAGATCACTTGGTTGAACCCTTGAAGTATTAATAGGGCATTGCTTTGTTTGTGATATGGACTCTGTTAATATAAGTAATCTGGAACTCCATGATGCTAATTTAGCTACAAACCGAAACACTTTTCCAGATTTTAGTTCACAGCTCTCAGCCATATCCCAACTCTTTGGTCATACTTCTGGTTCATCAATTTTCTCTAGCTATGGTCTTCCTTTTCTACTTCTTATTGCGGTCCATCTTGTACCTGGTACATTATTACAAATTTTATTTTCTTTCATCCTTCTGAATGTGTAGTTAGATTTGAAACTCTCTTTAAGAATCTTGGAGATAGGAGGAGTTCCAACATCTACGTTGGTACTAATAGAGTCAGTGTCTGTTACGAGACATTTGGTTTGGCTTGTTTTCTTTTAATTTTTAAATTTAATAAAGGAGATACAAGTGATTTTCTTTCTCAACTTCTTAGTAAACATTTTCACCCCCTGCCCCCTTCCTTTCTCTCGAGAACAAAAAGAGGAAAAAGAGATGAAGGAGAAGGTATCAGCCAAAAGAGGAGGAAAGCTCTAAGGTAGATAACTTGGCATCTTCCATGTGTCACATCCTTGGTCATTAGTTTAACCAGTAGATTACTATATGGTTGTTGCACGGTCACTTGATAACAAAAGATGCTGGTGACAAATGATGAAAAAAGATTGCGAGTTGGAGTATTTGAATTCTCCAACATTTTTTTAGCTATCAAGAGAGCTGCCTATAATGTTGATTTTT